AAATGAGGAGCTGATGCCAGGGGCTTAAGTGGAGAGCAAATGTTTTGAATATGATGAGGGCAATGAATGTACAAATGCGCTTTACACAATTGATGTATGTATGGATTGTGATGAGTTGTATGAGCCCCTAATAAAATGATGTAGAAAAACAAAAGACTTGCCCTAAACGTTTGACTTGAGTCATCACAACAGTGGTACAGAGTATCTACAGTAGCTCAGCACTCCTTATTTTTCAGAGGAGGACAGTGAGAAGTGGGGAAGTTCATTGTTCGAGGTTAAACAGCGGATCGGTAGCAGAGCCAGAATTGCAGTGGAGGCATTCTTGCCCCCAAACTGCCCTTCAGCTCTGCGATACTCCTCTTGATGGGCAGAGTTCAATATTCTGGGCTTGGATTTCTGCTCTCTTGAGCTGTATGTTTGCTCATTGGAGTAGTAGAGATCTAAATTTATTAAATGGAAGCTAGTAGAATGCAACCCACGTGAATAAAAGACATTTTTAAAGGTTATTTTTAACATCTCTTTCTAAAGCCTTTGCTCTTCCCCTCTCCTAGATCCCACCTGCAGCTGGGGCCCTCCTGTATCCACTGGCCGACCGCAGAGTGTCCCCTACCTCCTCTCCAGAGCATCATTCCTTTGTCTCTGCTGCCAGAGCCATGGTGCCATTTACTCCAAGGACTAACTTTCTAAAATTCCGCTCCTGGGGTGACCTCTAGCCTGTCAGCATCCACTGTGTGTCTCCAAATTGTGTAGGACTCCATAATCTTTTGGTTGGTTTCTGAGAAAACACAAGGAAGCATTTCACTTTTTTATCCAAGGCTGTTTAATTAAATAATGCAGTTGGCCATCCCAATGCAAAGGTATTTTTTATCTGCAACCATTGGGTTCTCTTTGTTCCTTGGGCCAGATGCCCAGGTGGCATTAGACTGCAAAAAGGCCTGTTTTACTCAGTGTTCAGTCTTATTAGCCTGAATTAATAAAATGCTTTTTCTCCAGGATTTTGGTCAAAGGTAGGCTGTATCCATAATTTTGCTGTCCCCGTCTCTCCAGTCTCAAGGATCTACCAGTTTTGCCACGACTCAGATCTTAAGATCTTCTTGTGCTGTTCAGCTTCTCTAACCGAAGCTCATTGGAATAATAATGTATTTTGTTATTTGTTTCCTTACAGCAATTATTACTAATTAAACCAGTATTTAATGCCATTTCCAGGGGGGGGTTTTGTTTCTGTTTTATTTTTAGTTCTTAATTTTGTTACGATTGCATTACCATGAATGTTGGGAAGATGTGATGTGTGTTGCTTGTTCATTACAAAAAATAAGGAAGCACAAAAAGGTGGATGCTAAACTATCAGACACAGAAATATCCCTGCTGTGTCTCTGAATGTGTAATAAACGATTGTAATAAATATTTTAATTATAGTTTTGTTATAAATATAACTTATGAGGAAAAAATTTGATAGGAATAATACTGTATGTTGCTAATTTTAACTGTCCTGGCTAACCTTGTGAATCATAGACCTTCCTCATATACAGTATTCAATGCACAGAAATCATATGATTGGTTCAAGTAAAATAAGTTAAGTAGTTTCAAGTAAAACTCTCAACTCTGAGTCAATATTTCTGGTTCTTTTGGCTGTGTATTCTTAATAATAGCTGGGCTGCTTGTGCCTAATTCGTCTTTTGGGTGTGACAGCTTTGCAGTTGACAAAAACTTCAGAAATAGGAGAGGGAAAAACAGTTAAAAGTTTGACTTTCAGAGACATGGTAGGTGCTAATACTGGATTTAATCTTTCAGATTTAAGTTCTTTAATGGGTTTGATAGTTCTTCAATAAATTCCATAGGTCTGTGTAATATTTTAATTGTATAATAAAACCCCTTTGTTATTTTATAACCCATAATAGTGTGTCTGTCTGCCTTTTAAACCCATTGCAATAACTTTCCTGAAATATTAACACATTAGTAAAACTTTTCTTAAACAAATCGTCTCTGTGTCATATTTGGTATGATTTGGTAAAGTGGTAAGTAATATGGCAAATAAACACTACAATTAGCTAGTAGAGTAGCTTGGTATTTTTAAGCAAGCATTTTACATTTGTATACTACATTACATTTTTCATTACGTCTTTCTGCTACTTACACATTCGTAAGAACAGATAGGTACTCATAGTCCGTAATGGCCAAAAATGTCTTCACTGAAAAAAAGAGTTTGGAATGTTTCATTAGGGAAACAAGATAACACAGTTATTGTTATTTTCTTGGATCATCTGATGACTCAGTTTTGGGGGGTTGTTTTTTTTGTTTGTTTGTTTTGGTTTATTTGTGTATTGCCAAAAAACAAACCGTCAAAACTTAATTATTTTTTTCCTTGTCAACCCAACAAGCAGTTAGTTATACTCTGCGGATTCATTTTAATTCAGGGCATTCATTGAGAGGACCCTGGAGAGAATGTGGGAACTGTAGACACCAGATGGGTTGTTACAGGGGATAGCCTAGTTTGAAGACGATCCTAGTTGTGGCTGTTTTAGGTAACATCAGTCTAGTTGAGATCATTGCTGTCCTAAGAATTGGGTTTTTCTTGACCACTCATCTTTCAATTCCTTAACTGATATTATCTTCAAAGAAAGATCCTATTTACCCACAGGGACAGGGGTTAAGACTTCAGCATATCTTTATAGCAAACACAATTCAACCTATAACATCAACTAGCTTGGGCTTCAAGTGGAAGATTGAGAACCACTGATCTAGAACCTTTTATCACTGGAAGCTGACACTAGACACAGAAGCCAGAGTATCTACACGTTGGATTCTGCTAGGATCCAGCCGTAGATGGAAGGAAAGAAAAGTTACATTCAAAACCTCTTAAGAAAGTGGTTAATATAATTAAGTAAGCCTGGTTACCCTTAGTCATTTTTTTATGTCATTGGTAGTGCTAATTGTGATAAGCTTAGCTACAATTAAAACTCGAAAGCATTTTTAAAGGATTTCTCTTTAAATCTTGGAAACTCACCAATCGTTCAGATAAAAAAAAATTTTTTTTAATTCCCACTTTTCAAAACTAAAAACAAAATATGGATGATAAACTTTATGTAATAAAGACCCTTGCAGCTAAATTTCTCCATAAGCCATCAGTTTCAAGGAAAGTGGAAACCGTGTTTCTCCCTTCCTAGAAAAACAGGCTTGTAATTGAGCCTCACCAGAAACTAATCCTTAACTGCAAAGACCAAGGGCAAACAGGCCAGAGTGGTCCCCATCTCCAGGTGGACTTGGTTGAAGGAGGATGCTTTTTCTTTAAGGTAGTCATTACATCGTGACATCTTTAAATTCCTTGAGCCTGAAAATGTGTAAGTGTGTGGGATCCACACACTGGATAGGTCCTAAGGGGCGGTTATATAACGGGTACATGAAAGAGACATGAGACAGGGCATGCAAGAGCTCACCTCTTCCATGTCGACAGGAACCAGAATGAGGCAGTAATGCATTCTCTCACAAGCATGTAATCTCAGGCCTGCAAGCCATGGTAAGCACATATGTAACAGGAAGGGGTTGTATTAGAGGCATACCCCTAACATGGGGAGGATGAGCTAGGGGTACACACAACCGGAAGGAGAGGTACTAGAAGCATGCATGTGACAGGCAGGTGCATATGTAACATGATGGGCAGGCTCTGGAGTAAGGTGGCAGTGTAACCTGTCTGAGCCGGCTTCTCCAGGGAGAAACGTGGGATCGTTATCTGGAGTGGGTTATGCTTAGGGTGGGACAGACAATAGGATCTGATTGCTGTTGACAGCACGCACCCTTCAGGCAAGTGGCCTTCAAGCTTGTATACAGTAGCAACCCTATGCTTGCAAGTAGCACCTTAAAATTGGCCTTATCATGGGGGACATCTCGGGGAATACCTTTTACTTAGATTGTGAAGATTGTGAATGGAACACATCTCTAGCCTATGAAAGTTAGGGTCTCTCTCCACAGAGCTCTGGCCTCCCAGACTCATTAACATACGAATGTAGAGAATTTATCTGCATACTCTTCCCCAGTTCTGTTTTCCACATAAATGTAAAAGTTTTTATTTTCCCCACAAGCGCTGAAATAAACCATATTTGTGCTCTACACAAAACTCAGAAACCGGGTTTTTTTGGCCGTGGATTGTTGAGATTGACAAAATGTAGACTGCACCATCTGAGTTCTAGAAACGACATACATTTTGCTCCAAAATGAGTAGCCACAGAATTACAAAAATAAAGTTTTGACTCTTCGGCACATTTAAGTTCTTTCGGTATACCTCAAATGGTGTCCAACTTAAAACCAGGAAGCATGGTAGGGATTTAATACTTTTTTTTAAAAGTTTTATTTCCATTTTGCCAAGAAAAATCACATTCTAAATCAAGCGCAACCAAATACTTTGGTTAAGGGTTCTTGTCAAATCAAGGTTATGGAATAGGAGTTTGCTTTTGCTCCCACATAGCACAGAAGCAATGCTACTGGTGCTGTCTGTCCTGTCGCTTCCGACTGGCCCCGTGCCACAAGGGCACTTCCCTGTGGGATTGTCCTGACCAGTCTTCCAAGAAGCAGACTGTCCAGTCTCTTTCCTCAGACCTTAGCACTCCCACCATGTGCACCATCAAAACAATAACAATAAAGACCTCTCGGCCACCGAGTCGATTACCCCGGAGGGCAGGGCAGAACGGCCCTGTGGGTTGCTGAGACTAGCTCCTTAGGGGAGTAGAAACCCTTGAGCATTTCCTTGTGGAGGAGCGGGTGGCGTCAAACTGCTGACCTTGCAATCCACAGCCCAACATGTAACCACTACACCACCAGGGCATCTGCGCCACCAGGGCTCCTTACTGTGAGTAATGCAAGGATTTGCTGACTTTGGCTTTGACAGTAAGTCACCTTTGAAGAATTGCCTTTTGTTTTGCTTATAAAGAGATAGTTATTTTTTAAAATAAGAAAAAAAGACAGAGGAATCGGCCCTAAAAATCAGTCGCGGGGCAGCCAAATCTCTGTTTTCTTGATCTTAAATGTTTCTGTTCATCTATATAGGCTCTTTCCTCGTATTTTCACAGACCAGTTTACTGACAGGAAAATAATGAACATTGTCGTTTGTATTCAAAATGTTTGGGCATTTGTTCTCCTGGGAGCAACTGAAAGCCAGGAAACCTAACCATAGACGCTCGGGCTCTGTGTATGTAAGGATTCAGAAGCAGACGTAGTGTGACTTTTTCTTCCCACACATATGGATTGATGTCCACAGCTTTTGCACATCGTTGTGGATTTCATACAGTGTACAAATATTCTATTTGATCCAGTGGAACTTGCTTAGCTCTGTGAAGGACTACAGACTTGAAAAAGAATATGGTTTGATGTTAGTGTCTGCTGTGGGTTGAACTGTGTCTCCTCTGAAAGATAAGCTGAAGGTCCTGTTCGTGACCTCATTTGGAAGTTGGGTCTTGGCAGATGGCTTCAGGTTCACGGGCGATCCTGGCTTGGGATGGGCCCTGCCCTGACCTATGTGGTGTCCTTAGCAGAGACTATTGAGTCTGCGTTTGTTTCACTCAGCATCGTGTTGGAAACTTCTCATGGTTCTGTAGCCTTAAATATGTACGTACCATAAGAGTAAATCTGTTATTCAGATCTACAAAATCCCAAGGCAAACCAAGATATGTTTCTAAATAACAGGTCTGTCTCACCTGCCCTCCTTCATCTTTATTTCTGTCGGCAAACCCAGCCAGCTGAGGACCTCATAGATTAGCAGAAATTCAGTGCTTCAATCTCACGCCTTTTGGGATAAAATTAAAATTTATTTTTTAAATACTTTGGGCTTACCGAAGGGGTGGGGGTGGAATGAAGAAGGAAAGGAGAGGAGAGAAGAGGAGGCCCGTAAAATAGGAAGTAGAGGTTTTATATTCTGGAAAGGGGTACAGCCTCTGAAAGGCACGGGTCCTGTAGGGTCACTATGAGTCAAATAACTCGGTGGTAGTGAGACCGACCAGGTAATGGAAGCGGCCTAAATTAGAGTGGTGCCTTTGGAAGCTAAAGGTTGCCAGCAGCACCAGAAGCTTCTAGAAAAACCTGGAACACATTCTCGTCTGGAGACTTCAGGACAAGCATGGTCCTGCCAACACCGTTTTGGAACCGCAAGCCTCCAGAGCTATAAATCTGCGTGGGTTCAAGGCACCCTGTTTGTGGTCCAAATTTGTTATAGCAGCCTAGGAAACTATTAATAGAGTATCTGATTTTAAAATGAGGAGGGCTCTAGTTAATTCGTAAAATAAAGGAAATGGCAAACAGCACTTGGGGCCATTTTTATAGAAATGTTTCTTCACTAAATATTTAATAATATAGAGGTACTGTTTTGTGTTAAGGAAAATCTTTTCTTTGTAAGAGCCCCCAAGTAAAATGATTAATAAAAAAAATCTTTTAATTCCCAATCGTGGCCATATGCTACCACTGCAAAACTATAAATGTAAAATAATTAGATCCCTGATGTTTTGTGAAAAAATTCTGAGGGGGGAAAAAGTTTTGTTTGCACACACTTTTCTATCCTCTAAGTTTTGAATTAAGCATATCAAAATAATATGTAACTTTATGCAATCCTTGAAGATAGAAAGTTCAAATGCCTGCAACCAAAGGAGGCTCATCCGGTAAAACTTAGTGAGAGCTATTTGGCGCATTTAACAGATAGCTTTGTGGTAGTTATGTAATTTCATGTCAACTTGAAGATATATAAAAGTGTAGGGGTAGAGCCTGATGACCTCCCTTGGAAGTGCAACTGAGATATATAGCTCTCTGGAGGCCAGCCTCTCTCTCTGCCTCCACCCTCCTGCTTGCCGGTCACCCTGTGAGCTGCTAGAACCTTGCGATATTTCCCACTGACTGGATCCACACAACTTGGCCCACCCACCAGCCTATGATGTTCCTGCATTCTGCATCATTGCCTGTGACTATGTGAGTCTGGAGAGGGACTTAGGGACTATTATCAG